AAAAAGGGCGGGGGGGGGGGGGGGTAATATTAAAAATGTCAAATTCGACTAAAAGGGTCCTGGTCCGTCGTAATTTAAATGAAATTAAAAAAAAAAAATTTTGATCAACAAAAAAGGCATTACCACGCTACCGGGATACGAGATAAAAAAAGAAAGGATGATGCACGGCAGTTTGTCGACGCATAATGAAGTTTTCATAAGCGGCGCGAAGGTGGGTTGATGGTAAAGTTAGGTTGGGTAGTCAACTGTTGAAACGTTGGCCCGGACTGAAACGAAGAGCAGCTAATGTATTCATTAAGGTATCGTCACCCCTCCTTGCCACCCTAAACTCTACGGCACTGCTCGCTCCACCTCCTACCTACAGTCTCAACCTCCACCTTCTTCAGCCGTCCCACCTTCCTGCCGCTTCAACTTCTTCGGCTCGTTCGCTTCATCTCTGTACTGAATTACTTACTTACTTAGTTGCTTGCTTGCTTAGCTGGAGGTGTACCCATGCATTCTAGCGGCGGAGGCGACTTACATCTGATAGCACTGACGGACAGCTGTTACGTGGAGCCCGCCTCCTTGGTTCTTGTCCGTGCTGTACTTCGTACTTGCTGTAAATATATGATGAGTAAATTGAAGCGCGTGATGGAATATTATAAAAATGTCTAAATTCTTTACTCGAGATTATAACCTAGATTGAGATTTTTTTTCCTCTCTCTAAGGACGAAAACAAATTTTTTTTTTTCGACAAACTGCTACAAAAAATTTTTCGACCGGGGACCAGAGTGAATTGCCGGGATATACACTACGGTAGATATACCTTGTACGAGATTTTACATCTTGAGATAAGATAACGCAAGGATGAATATTTTTGTTTACGTCACAGTGAACATGGCTTTGGTTATCACTGAAGATTATACAAATAACCAGGAGGACAGGTGTAGTCGTTGTGTCTTTTTAAAATATCTTTTCGATTCGGTAGACAGAACGAGGATGGCGGTTATGTGCGTAAGGACGAAAGTCATTTCACGTGGCATTAAGTAAAGCGGACAGTAGAGATTTTACTGATAACAGGTGAAACCATAAAAAATGATACGACGGAGGGTGAAGGGGGTTTGATAGACCGACGTGTCATTTTGGGGTTAACGTAACGTGTATCGGTATCAGCAATCAGCAATGGACCCTTGAGGAAGTAACGTTCAGCTGCTTCTAGATAGGATATCAGACGGAATTACGTAACGGTGGTGGCAGATGGTTGGAAGGAAAAAAAATTTTGGAAATTTATATGACCCATTTTCGTTTGAATTTTATGAACTATTTTCATAAATTATGAAAAAAAGTACTAAGTTAGAAAAAAAAAATTTTTTTTATCGCAGCAATTTTTTGATTCTCAAGGGCGATCAATATTCAATGGGGCCCAATGAAGGTATTGACGTCATTTTCCCACGTGGCGTATAGACGTCGGCGTCTCTGCGTGCTGTACCGACTTCGTGATTAAATAATATAAAATATGGACG